TACTTATGACTCGATCTAATATTTGAAATTTCGGTACAATTCATTCGTTATTAATTTTGTCTTTTTTTTTTTTTTTTTTTAATGTTTTTTTAACGACCAATTTATTTGTTCGCATGTAAATTTGATATCATAATTATATTTCGTATTAACAAGATATTGTTAAAGAAAAACAAAAGAAGAAGAAAAAGAGCATAAACAAATGTTAGAGACCAATAATGTTCTTTCGTGCCTCGTTAAACTTACTTCCGGCAACCTGACGAGTAACTCGTGAAATCGACTTGGCTGCTGTGGTGCACTGTGTTCAACGAAACTTCGCAGACAGCTCATGTACCGTTCTTGTATCTGTTCTAACTCCAGTGTACCTCCTCGTGCTAAGGATAATACAAATTCATTCATTTAATATTTATTTTTTTCCTTTTTTTTTTGTTTTGTTTTGTATAACATAACAGGAAGTTAATTATTCACAATTACGAAGATTACACATTATTGCTTTTTTTTTAATGCTTACATTTTGCATCTCCAATTGCAGCATTATCAAAAGGGGGGAGGGAGGGGGAAAAAAAAGAAACAGATCACCTTATGTATTATGCGTGATTACGTGTACTTCATTAATTCATTCATGAATTATTCCAATGATTATTGTCAGGTGAGTTTTTACACATATATTTACCTTGCGAGAGCATGGTGATTACTTTAAGACAGACGTATTCCTCCATCCTAAGCCTCACTCGCCTGAACATAAGCGTGACATAAGTAATTTTTTCTACCATGAGCCCTACGTCTTGTCGTAATTGGTCCATGGTTATCGGTCGGCCCATCATGCTAGTTAGGCACGTTTGGAGCGTATACATGTTGTTGGAAACCTGTTAAAAGTATCCATGATTATTTTATTTTGTATTTTTTAATATTTGACAGTAGTACAAGTCGGCGTATAGTCAGACCGATTCGTTGTGTTTAATAAGAGTGACGTTGATGTATTAGATTATTAAACCATGAAATGTCTGATTACTTGGATTATTTACATCTCGAAATTAGACATTTCATATTTAACCCTTTCGCTATGGGCGTATTTTTCGCGATGCTATTTCTACTTGTACGGGGTGCTAATAAGTGCAGCAGCATCGCGAAATTGCACTTTATTTTCAAGTAATTTTGTTGTTGATATTGATGATTTTATGTAATGATGTCGTATGTAAAATACGCGGTATTTTATGGAGGGCCACTATAGTGACCCATAGTAGCGAAAGGATTAATGACCTAATATTTAAAAAAAGAAAAAAAGGATATAATTACTTCTTGCGTAAATTCCGAGTTTGTTCCATCCGAGGTTACATTGACAAACTTGTGCTGACCGTGCATCGCCTGATAAGCAGAGGTGGTCAGCACGAGGAGTTCGTGCCACTTGTGAGTGAGCAGCCTCGTGTGAACTTCAACCGGCAGCTCAAGGTAAAACGGTAACCTTTTGGTCCACTGCACCAACTTGTAAACTATGCTGTCTCCTATTTGACACAGCTTCTCACTTAAATCTGATTTGTGGTCCAGCAGCTCGTCCAAGTTCTGGGAAAAAATGTCAGATAATATCGATTGTATAAGAAAAGTTTAATCCTTTCAATGAATTTTGTTTATCTGATAGGAAAAAAAAAAAAAAACATATATGTACCCTTAACGTAGCAATATCTTGGAACTCATCGCAATCTATGAGCGTTTGAATCATGTCGAGGGTCGTGTCCAAAGGAAAGGCTCTATCCCTCGAACTACTAACGGCGTTATCTAGCCTCTGCCGCAGGTGTACCACCTAGAAAAAAATCAAATCAAATATTTTAATCCTTTTATCGTCCCAATGAGAACAATACCATTCGTAAGATCGTACAAAATTTATCATTAAAGATCATCATCCCGAATGCGAGTTCATTTCCAATTCTCAGTTCGTTCAAAGTCGGTCGGTCGGCCTTTCACTGACCTTTTCAGGGTACTTCCTCGAAATACTTCCTCGAGGTCGGTATTCTTGGATCGTAATAGAGGAGAAGGGACAGAGCGAGAGCGAGAGAGTAAAACAAGAACACGAGGTGTTATAAAATCATGTTGTTATATAAGGAAATAGATTAAAAGATCATCCTCTAGAATTTCTCTATTTATTTTTCTATAAAAAAAAAAAAGAAMAAAAGGAAAAATAATTAAATCACAAAATATATCCAGCTTGTTCTCACTCGTAATAAGATTTTTCACGCACCCTTTTGTATCGTGGGAACACGATGTCGCGTGGTTTGTTGACTGAAAGTGCTCGAGGGTGGTGAGAAAGAGGGACGAGGGAAGAGAGGGTGGGAGATTGTAGGGTGGGAGGACGGAGGAGGAAGAGAAGGAGAAAAAGGCGGAAAGAGGCAGACGAAGGTGACGGGGAGGGAGGCAAGGGGAAAGAAGGGGGGAGGTGGTGAGAGGTCAGTGTCCCTTGCGCAGACTTTCACGAGTTACGAAACGGCCCGTCGGAGAACTGCCCGTCCTTGGCACCGGTTGCCGCTGATTTTCTATTGTCCCTAACCGATCGTCATCGTGCTGTTTCACCTGGATGATCATCCGGACTTTTTATGGATACCCCTAAATACGAATCCGTTATTATGATATCTCATTTACGAAGCTCACGATACTTTAGCGGATCATTAGGTTTATCGTTGGAGAAACAACACATCGGTCTCTCTCTCTCTGAGTTAAAAGTTTAAAAGTCTATTTTCTATTTTGCGATGATTGGGCTTAGAACAACAACAAAAAAAAAGAAGAAAAGAAAAGAATAGAAAATAGAGAAAGGAAATTGTGTTTGTAAATAGTTTAATGAAGAAAATCGATATCGTTTGGATTTATCGATCGATATCTATCGATATATAGCTTTCATTCGTAGGAAAAACATATTATTAGATATATAGAAAGGATAAGCCGGAGACGCCAATGTTGATCAAGTTGGCTTTCGAATGAGCTGCTGCTGCTGCTGTTGTTGGTGCTGCTGCTGTTGGTGACTCTCTCTGCTACTACCGCTGACTCTGTTCGTTCTATCTATTGGCTTTCGTAATGTGGGAAACCTTGAGGCTTGCGCAAGATAAGTCGTAAGAAAGTGAAATTGCAACGAAGAGTTCATTCATTTCAGGATCAACGTGATGGAAGACTGGAACTAGCTTTTAACATACAACGATGTATGTTAATACATCGTGTATGAGAGTTTCGATTAGTTTTTCTTTTTCTTTTTGCAATATTTTAACGCGAATAAATATGATAAATAAGTAAGTATGCATATGTGTAGAGATAGGAAGAAAAAAAATTCTATTGCATCTAACACCATGATAGAAAAGCGTATTATCATTATTATTATTATTATTATTATTATTATTATCATTATTATTTCCAATAAAGAAACTTGTTCGGGAGAAGATGATAAAAGTCGACAGATTGACAACGATTTGGTACGTCCGTGCTTCGTGTCTAAGAGCTAAGCAGCTGGTTCGAAAGTGAAAGTGAAGATGCCTTCGGGTAGTTCTCATCAGAGATCTCGAACGAACGAACGAACGAACGGATTCTACGGGTAAAGATCAAGTTTTGTCGAGCCGCGCTCGATTTCTAACTGGAGCCAAGCGAAATAAATCACTTAAATTGCTAGCTTCGTATACGGAATTCTACGGTATCGGGGATCTTACCGAGAAGTTCATTCGCGTGTATTAATATCTGGTTCACAGAGAGCTATCCTAGCGAAAGAGAAAGCGATGTCGTTCCAATTGGGATTTTGACGTTCGTCTTGAACGCCTGTCTTCGTGACGGTCGATCAATCAATATCAAGTAAAAAGTAAGAATAGGAACATGCTCACGATGAGAGAGGATCGTGATCTTAGTTGACCACGTTGACCAATGAAATTTAAGTAGATCACCAATTGGCGCCATTGAAGTTGATTGCTTGGTAAGAACGATTGGTCGCTCGAATTCAAAGAAATAATTGAGAAATGTTGTTATAATCACCTCGGAAGGATTGGTGAGAGCAGTCTTCAGGATCGTTCCATTGACCAGGTGGCCCGAATGGGCAGGGTGACTTGGATGGCTGGGAGTAGGTTGCGAGTTGAGCGGATCGCCCGACGAAATTTTGTGATGATGGAGGAAGCTACCAGCGAGCTGTGCGTGCTGTTGCTGACTGTGATGCGCAGCCACAGCTACCATGTGTTTGTCCAACATCGTCGGGCCCATGGTACCTTTATTGGCACCAAGGGATCCCGACCCGTTCACACCACCAACGTTACCGCCGCCACCCATGCCACCCATGTTCCCACTGCTCATCCCACTTCCTTTGTTGCTCTTCTTATGCTTCTTGTATTTAACCTGAAAATCCATAATCGTTTCATTTTCTTGTTCACCTCTAACGTACGAGCGTATCTTCCCCGATCATTTGTTTTCTATTTTATTGCATTTTAATATCAACCTTATAAAGATTGTAGACGGCACCAGAATTTCTTCCACCAGGCATCCGGTCTTCTCGAACGGCTTGAAGGACCATACCCTGTTCGATACACTTTTTGAAGCGGCAGTACTGACACCTGTTTCTCTGTGCCTTTGTGATTTCGCAGCCACCTTCTGCTACACATGTATACACCCGCCTATTTTGTACAGTCCTTTTGAAGAAACCTTTGCACCTGCAGCAAAATCGATCCATGTTCTTTCTTTTTTCTTTGGGGGTTTTTTTTTTTTTTTGTTACATTACTTCAAATCGCTCGAAATGTGCGCAAGATGTTCGCGACAAAAGAATTAAAAGTTTCATTTTTAATCAAAACGATTGGAAGGAAGAAGAGAACAAAAAGTAAAGTTTTATCGTGCAAACGTCCTCTCTTTCATTTCATGTCAGACAACGTAGGTAGAAATTGCAATGTGGTCAGACAACGATACCCAATGGTGATATCCAGAGTTAATCTCGAGTATCCTTACGTAAATTTTCAAGAGAGATATTTTTCAAGGAATATTTCTTTCACCTTGGTTGGATATCGTCAGCTTGGGAGATGAAAGAAGCGGCAAGTAGGTTGATAATTAAGAACTTGTATACGGTGTGCTTGAAAGAAGCATTTTTCTCCTTCTTAACTTTGCACTTAGTTATAGTTTATTTAATAGAAGGAAAGTGTAAATTGTTGGATAGTCAATGGGGGTTAATTTGGATGCCGAAGGATGCCGAGCATTCTACCATGGGTGGTTGTTTAAACGAAGAATCGAGAATATTCATCAAAGATCTTTGTCGTATTATTTGAAAGGGGTTGAAATATAAAATGAAAGGAAACTTACCCCTCGCACGTGATAATGCCATAATGTAATCCCGTGGCTTTATCCTCGCAAATCATGCAGATCATGGGCGTTTCGTCTTCCTCGTGTTCTTGAGGCGGTAACGGTGGAGCAGGTGGTGCGACCGACATTGATTGCGAGGCCGCCTCGGACTTGATGACCCCGCCGTTTCTCACCCAAGGCTGACTGGAGCCCGATGCCGTCAGATTGAGAGCTTGCATCTGCTGGGCAGCCGGCAGTTGCGTTAAATCGCCGGCCCATAGCCTCTCCATGTTGAGGGGTGGTCCGGACGAATAGGAAACGGAAGGTGGTTTTCCCCTGGACTCTTGTCCGAGGTTTAGGAGAAGTTGCGCCGCCGATTCCTCCGAAGAGGAACAAGAAGCTGCCGCTGCTGTGGCCGTCCACGAAGCCGCGGGTGGTGGTACAGGATCCGATGGTGGCGTCGTCCATACCATCGTCCTAACGCCACCGATTTCTCCCATGACCACCGTGGGCGATGGTCTCGGTGGTGCTGGGGCTGGTCTTTGGGCTGGGGGCTTCATTCCTGTGCCTACAAAATTCAACGCGAATCGACAAATCTCTTAAGTCTACTAAATCATCTAATGGGAAAATGAAATTTCTTTTATAGATCACCCTTTGACGCATTGAACTTACACGAGGACGACGTTGTGGTTGCTCCCGTACTTCCGGAGCTTCCACTGCCGCTATTACCACTCTCTGTACTTAAAGTAGTGCAGCTACTGGTAGAAACCGTGGCAACGTTTTGTCCATAACTAACGGCGCTACTTATTACGCCGTTTAGTAGCCTTTGCGTAGCGAATCCCTGTACACCGGAATTTTGTGACCAGAATTGATGATGTGCTAGAAGATGAGGCGGTACCGAAGGTGCTCGCGCCCTCGGCGATGCCTGCTGCTGCTGCGTTTGCGGTTGCTGTTGCTGTTGTTGTTGTTGTTGTTGTTGCTGTTGTTGCTGTTGCTGTTGAGAGACGTGAGCCGAACTACCTGTAGGACTCATGCTCTGGTTCGGATTGTATTGCGACGACGGACTGTTCCGGTGACTAGGCTGGCTGGATGTCTCCGTACGAACGCCGGAATTACCGCCACTGCCTCCGCTGCCACCACCTCCACCACCACCGCCTCCGCCACCTCCACCGTCGAAGACCGAATTATCGGACTCTTCTTTCATTTGGACAGACGAGAGATCACCTTTGTCAGGACTCTCGCTCCTCGAGGACGGTTCTAGAGGCATTGGTGTCGTGGAAACAGCTTGAACGGGTGAGTAAGGTGAAGATCTGTTTGGTGCTGGAGTACTGGAACGTTGCTGCTGCTGCTGTTGCTGTTGTTGTTGCTGCTGTTGCTGCTGCTGCTGTTGCTGTTGATGATGATGTTGTTGTTGTTGTTGCTGTTGCTGTTGCTGTTGTTGTTGCTGCTGTTGGTGATGGTGTTGCTGTTGCTGTTGTTCCTCGATTATCCTAAATCCCACCATCGTTCCAGTATCTAGGAAGACCGAATCAGGCGAAGCACGATCCGTGCACGTTGTTTCGCGTAATTCCTGACCATTTCCTCCACCACCACCACCTCCTCCTCCTCCTCCGGCATTCCCTGCACTTCCACCGTTACTTCCTCCACCTCCCCCGGCAGCTCCTCCACCAGCCATGGCAGCTACTCGCAAAGGATCTCGAGGTGTTCCTGGACTTGGGCTGCCCAGGATGTACTCGCTCTTCACTTTGACCATGGGACAGTCCGGCGAGCCTGGCATGTTGGCGTCAGGCGACAGGGTTGAGGTATCCGCCATGCTCTCCCCTGGAGCAGGAAAGTTTATGGGTGAAGGTGCGTCCGCCGGCTGGATCCCGAGCGGTGAGCCTGCTGATCCGAGGGATACCGGGGAGTCTGAGAAATAAGGCGTTGGTGTCTCGTTTATAATCAGCCTAATTTTATCAAATTATTCTCCTTGGTTAGGACACCCTATTTATCGAATTATCCGAAACGATAGCGGGTTATCAAGGAAGAAAATCTAACGATGGTAAAAGTGAAACCTATGGCGTTTCGAAAAGAAGATCGTAACGACTGCATCCAAGCCCATCCTAAAAGAACTTTCGATAGGAATAAACCGACGATTCGTTTATCGAATCGAATCTAAAATTGACATCGCGTGAGCCCAATCAAACGGTTTAAGGCGGTCAAAACAGAATCTAGGTTTGAAGGTGTGGCAAGTACAACTGCAAAAATCTTTCCTTCTTAATTTTTTCTTTCTTTATTTATTTATTTCTTTTGATGATACGCAAGAGAATAAGAGTAGTACTTAAACGACTGTGACACGAAAGTGTAATAGTCAAGTGTCGCGGAATATGTCGCTTTGTGAAAAGGATCTGGGACTATGGCTGGCTATGGTTCGTTCGTGTAGGTCAAGGAAGGAATGCAGTTGACAAGGCCGAGCCGTGATTGCGAGTACCTAGGCAACAGTTTCCATTCTATTAATACTATGATCGCGATAGATATCGGTACGGATAAATCATTTCTTCGCGAAGCTACACACGCACATTTTTCTCCCTTTTCCCTTGATCAATATTTAGCTGTTTGATCATTCAAAGCCCTTTCTTTGCGGAATTACAAATGGAATTGGAAAACATTGTAATTTATAGAATGAACGATATGAATAATAATGTGAATATTTACCGAAAATCGATGAGAAGACGTTCTTAGATTTGAAAGTATCGTAATAGTGATCGAACAACGTGTACGAGTCGAACGTCAATGGTAATCGAAAGTTATGCTGCCGAAAATTGTAGTAACCGTTGTAGGAAGTATGATCGAAATTATTATACGGATTATACAGATACGGATATGTCAAAAATCCTTGATAAGTCGAATGATGAAGCATTCTATTATCCATGTTCCATGGATTCCAATTTTCTCCTGACAAATGGTGACTCGCTGCGATGGATACGTTATTTCCTATTGGAAATGTCATTTTTCTTCTACCTTGGATCAACACACGTTTCTATATATGTATATACGATTTTTCGTATAGTAACGATTAAATAATTGTAATTTTATTTTCTTATAATTGTTCCTCTTTCCCTCTTCAAAATTTGTCTTTTTTAAAACGCTTTATTTCAGACAAATGTATATTTGATTCATTTCCTTTTCTCAAATTAAAATCATTTTTAATTGTAGTTTAATTCACGTCGATGAATGTACGTTATTTTTCAAATGGTCACTTTCTTATATTTGGAATAAACCCACGATGGAAATACTCTGAATGATTTGATTCGATGAGAATTTAAGTAGTAACAATCGAAATTAGTCAAACGCAATTCACAAGCGTCGCATCTTTCTTCGTAAAAAACCCCACTCAATCTTTTTACACAGTATTCATATTATTTATAAAATTTATAAATGAAAATATTTAATCGATAGATCGAATGATTTTGATCAAAAAAAAATAATTGTCACCATACAATGTGTCCGATTATTATAAATATTAATAATAGATTTATATCACTTGATTTCCATTGAATCTACATATTACAATTCACCGATCACGTGTAATAAATTAATAACCGGAATTAAGTTTTAAAGTAGAAACGATATATAATTTATATACAATATATATATATATATACATATCTACGTGCAATAATTTATAACTATAAACTGTAATAATTAAATGGCCTTTGTCTAATAATAAATCAAACAGATAACGATAACGGAATTTATCGCGATACGAAAAAAAAGGGATTTTCTACGTCATTGCAAAACTACCACCCCCCTTTCTAGTTATTTTCGTTGGTATTTGTTTTTGTTTTTATCCTTCTTCCTTTATCCTCGTAACTTGGAAGGTATAAGGGAACGAATTAGACGATAATCCAGTCGTCGTTACTCTCGTAGTACTCCATTGAAGATCGAGTTGAAAATTCGTTTTGATCGTGTCACGTCAAACGCAATTGCGTCGTTTCTCTTTCTCTCTTTCTCTCTCTCTCTCTCTCTTTCATTCTCTCTCGTAACGAGCGTTGAATGTTCACGTGTAATCGAGAGGGATCAATGATTCACCGAGAGCGTCGCATTGTTGAACGTATCGCTCAACGATGATGATGATGACAACGATGAGTATCGAACTAGTAGTATAACGTACACATATGCAATGCAAAACCCTTCGATACTATTCACTCTATGGGAAAAGTATTCCAATGGAAGTGTGTGTGTGTGATTGATGATTCTTCCAAATTGTTTTTATCCTTGTTGTTGTTGTTCGAACATTGTTTGACATAATTGACGTGGGCCGATTTTTTCTGACGTATTCACGGAACTATTTAAGATCGATTCCAGTAACAGTCTCTGACCTTTAACCGATGCTAGGTCGAGGGTCATTGGTATCGTGCCGTTTGCAACTGTGTGTCGAAAAATCGATGCAGCTCGCTCTCGCGAGCGCGTCTTCCGATACGAAAAGCTTATTTGTTACGACGTACTTTATGCGCTTTTCATTTTTTCTTACGAGGGAAAGAGGATGCAAAACAAACAAACATATATATATCTATATCTATATATATATATATATATATGTGTATGTATATACGTAGAAAAATAGTTATGCCGATAAAGAAGAAGAGGAAGAAGAATAAGAAAAGAGGAGAACACGTGTTAACGCGAGTTCAAACGAAGCCGAACTAGCACCGGTGCACGTCCGGGAAACCGCGTGATATTCAACCCTGCACTGCCACCTACCCTCCTCTTAGATTTAGCCCTCCGCCTACGCAGTCTCTTCCTCTCACCCACGTCTCAACCTACCCTTGCCAACCAACGACGACGACGACGACGACGACGACGATGATGATGACGACGACCAAGACAACAACGACGACGACGACCATTCGAACCTTCAACCTAAATCAACATCTCTATTATTTTTTGTATATTTTTGTATCTTAACCAACCATAATTCGATTCTATTTCCAAGTGTCCTAATAATCGTTAACAAGGTTTATGAAAACCATAGAATTTGTGTGATTCCTTCAAAACAAGGACAAGGTTTAAATCTATAAGCGTATTTGTGATATTATCGATAATGGTATCAAAGGAAATGAGGATTTGCTACGTTAGCAGATATCCTTGGTAAGAAGAGACGATGCAGTTTGATATTATGCAAAATTTCTAATATCTTTCGTATGTGTTAGAATATATCGTTGATGATAATTAACGTGTCCTCTCTATGTTTCCTCGATGCGAAGTTTAAACGATGATTATTTTATTTCATACGTGTCCTAGTTTCTTCTTCGTTGTAGACGTATAAAATAATAAAAATAAAAAGAAGAAGAAGATGATGGTGATGAAGTAGAATATGAAGTAAAAGTAGAAGAAGAAGAAGAAGAAGAAGTAGAAGAAAATAATGTTGAGTTCTTACCGTCGCTACTACATCGGGAGTCGACCTTTCTCCTTTTCAACTTGAGGTCTTGAAACAAGCTCATGTTGTCTAGCTCACACGGGCTGCTCGTAAGGGTCATAATTCCTGTAATAATAATTATACATTTAATTAATGATCGTCGATACAATTGCATAATTATTAACTTCATTATTTATTTATATATTATTTTTTTTAATAATTGAGATCTCTAGCATTTGAATACGCTATCTGGAAGCTACATTCAAAATTAGAATAGATAGGTCGAATTGCTACGCTCCCACGTGGGATCTCTAGCACTTGAATACGCTATCTGTTGGCTAAATTTAACATTAGAGTAGATAGGTCGAATTGCTACGCCACGCCCCTGTCAGAGATCCCAATATTCCAAGAAAAATATTTATGCATGTTCATATATTGAAATATAACAACAACAAAAATGGAAACTTTTATACACTGCAATTTGAAATCAATGTAATTTGAGTACATGGAAATTAGGTGTGGAAAATGATATCGATATTAAGTATCGAAGACGCGTATAATTTGCTATAAAGTTGAGTTCAGTTGATTGCAAACAATTGGAGGATTCGTTTCGCGATTTAAACGTAGAAAATCCCCAACACATCTTGACCATTTTCATGACGCATCGCATAGACATACATAAGCGTGTTACGATTCTCTACTAAGCTTTATGGGGTTCACGGGACCTCTCGTTTCTTTGGAACACATACGATTCTTCTTGCAATAATGTTAAATAATGCTATAATTGGGGGTCGAGTCTAGGCAAGTCAGACTAGTGTTCTTCTTCTGAACGAGACTGAGCTATAAACTTATCTACTGGGTGTCCAACGACAATGTCATTACACGAATTTGCAACTTTGTTTCTTTTTGAAAAAAAGAAATATTAAGTTCGTCTAGAATTATTTAGTAGAATCATGGATGATCATTTGTTTAACTTAGTGTTTATAAAACAAAAATGAAATTTGTTAGAGATTGATTTTTTTTAATAGATTTTTGTATGACCCCTTATACGCGTACATATCATTGACAAATGTTCATGTAAGTACAGTTACGAGTCAGTTGCATCATGTCATTTTAATAACACTTCATTCTTCTTCTTCTTCTTCTTCTTCTACTTCTACTTGTTTTTTCTTCTTCTCATACTTAATCTCTAGAATCGTCATCCTGATAGCAATAACTCCGACACGTAATCGTTCAAACGGTCTGTGAATAATTAGGTACACGGCACACGCCTGCTCCAAGGATCGGCTTACGACGAGTTGTGTTTTTATGACGTCTAGAAGAACCGAACGAGACGAGTTCAGTTCTACTTTTGGGTCATTTTAATCATACCGCAAGATCATCGTTATCATAGTTGTCGTAGTTGATGATCATACTCGTCGTAAAGTCTGTTAGCTGACTCGAGAACCCTTTGATCCATCATTCTCAACGGGTCAAGAAAGAAAAAAAAGAAAGAAAGGAAGAAAGAAAGGGAGAAAGATAGGCTGAAACAACTTTGTTGTTTGCGTTGGTGAATGAATGAATGGGCGTTATTCAAGAGACGAAATAATATTTTATGGGAATGTTCATTCAATTTACATGATTATACTGATTGATAATATTATATACGCAAAGTGAGCCATTATAAATATGTAAATATTAGTAACATAGATATTCCGTTGGACGTAGACATAAAAAAAAAAAATACTTCTTTGCATGACTTCTTAACGGATTAATTTTTCAATAAAAGTAGAACACTCTTCTTTTCTCGTTCACTCGAGATCGGAATTATCTCGCGTCACTCGAAGGTTTCGAAGAAGTGAGAAGTCATTCTTCTCGAAAGTTGCTTTCCTCGAGCAAAGTCATTTGGAAAAAAAAAGGGGATAAGTTTTTTCTTTTTTTCTTTTTTTTTTTTTCAATCGAAACGTCAAGCGTTCGATACATCGCAAGCGGTTGTCTTCTTCGTTGGAAAAGATATTTTTAATGTTCCCGATCAATGCCGAATTTAGGTAAAATGGTTTGCTTGCTCGAGAGGAAAACGACTCGTTCATTAAAATTTCACATTGAAAAGAGTATCTGTAGTTGTGTCATCCTTATATATATATATATATATTTTTAACGAAAAAAGGGTTTACTACTGTTAATCCTATAATAATTATTAAAAAAGAAAAAAAGGTAAAATTTAAAAAGAAAAAATTGTATATGTGTGTGTGTGTGTGTGTGTGTGAACGTTACTTAAAACCGCCAGTTTGTGCTTGCTTGTCGCCGCGTCTATTAAAGAGCCACGTGGGCGAGGAGTGTGTGAGTTTGTTAAGCGCATACGACGATAGATGGAGTTGCATGTGCACTAATATACATAGGGTGACGCGGGCGTTGGCATGCGCACGGAGAGTAGTCGAGATAGAGAGTGAGAGGGAGATGCACGACGGTAGTAGTAGGAGGAGGAGGAGGAGGAGGAGGAGGAGTGAGCTAGTGGTAGTGTAGTACTTGTATCTTTCTACACATGCGCGCGCGCGGGCGCACACGCGTTCAACGCGAGTGTTCAGCGCGAAAGAGTATTGGAGGGGGAGGTAGGTAATATAACGAGAGTGAGTGCATTCGTTGCGCACACATACGATATATTCTCTCTTTCTCAATTCTCCTTTGGTAGGATGTGTATGTGTGTATGTGTGTGTGTGTGGAAAGGCGCGTGTACGTGCCGAGCCAGGGGTCCTTGCTCCCTGCCGTATGTGGGTCAGCAGTCTCACACACGCTGCTATTCTTGCGTAACCAATGCATGCATACGACCGAGGGCCGACGACGCCGCTCTGCCACTGCTGCCGCCACTGCCGCCGGCTTGCATGCACATGCACATGCACAAGCACAACATACACTACTCTCTAACATAAGAGACGGAAAGTGCAGCCAATGCACTAACCTACGGAGCGCCACATACGCTACAAAGACTATAAGTAAGTAGTTTCTCTCCTTCCCTCTCTCTTTCTCTCTCTCTCTCTCTCTCTCTCTGCTGCTGCTACGTTAGCCTATGAGTCTAAGCGCAAACTCTTCTTCTCTATTTCTTTCTTTATTTATTTCTCTATATCGGCCAAGCTTTTTCGAGTTTCACGTTCCTCCCTACGCGGCATTCGCTCTATTAGACGAAGCTTCGTATTACACGTTCCTCCCTATTTTTATATATATACACACACATATACACGATATTTCTATTTCCCTTCGTTCCATTTTTATTTTTATCACATCCACTTATCAGAATGTCTTTGATTTTTCTATTGAAAAATATCATTTGATAATATATATATATTATTGTTGAATCTTAGAACGACGGTAGGATCCGATTTTCTATAGCATGTAGATTTTACCGCTATAGGGGCCGCGGACGGTGAAAGTGACTCTCCCACGCCATGACATCCTATGACTATGCCTCCCCCCCCACCATTTTCTTCCTCTTCTTTTTCTTCTTCTTCTTCTTCTTTTGCTTCTTGTTGTTGTTCCTCCCGAGTACGATCATGTCTCACAATATCTACTTAGAATAATCTCAACTTTTTTGAATCCTACGTCACGAGATAGGAACACGTATTTTAATAGTTATTAAACAAAGAAAAAAAAATACTAGAAAACGAAAGAAGTAACGGAACACTTTACTTTCTTATCTTTTCACACTCGACACCGTTACAAACGACGACTCATTAAATTCCACCTTATCTAACCAAACGTGTCTTCTCTAATCGTATATATACACAATAACAATATCTCATGTTTTTCTTTTTTTGTTAATTTTGGTTGAACATTATTTGTCCTCATTACAATTTTATCATTTCATTAATTATTTATCCAATTAATGACCTATCGATTATAAATGAATTTGTATTTGAAACACGTAAAAAAAATGAAAAATTTGATGATGTCCTATTTGTTAACAATTTTCTTGGATTATTCGGAAAGTAATTTCGTTGTAATTTGTTGTCAAAATGTAGACAATTTTTTTGTTTCGAGATTAAATTTAGGATTATTCGTGTGAGTTTGAAATAGTTTCATTTTGATAAATTTCAACTATCAACGATTTCACGTTGTTGTTATTTGCCAATTTGCATGAACTAATTTCAAAATTGTGTGTCAAGAAACAACGAAATTACTTTCGGAACAATCTAATAAATGAAAAATAATATGAAATAGTTGATGTGTGTGTGTAGTATCATAATGGAGGACAGAAGGCTTGTTATGTTAATCCTCTGTACGGATGTTCGCGAGCTGGCAGACGGCAAGGAGAGAACGGCCAGTGAGAGTTAGAGAGACCGGTACATTGAACCTCCGCAGTGAAAGTTTCTCTATTATACCACTGGCCTTACCTTACTTTTCCTTAGGCAAACCTTACCGTGTTGTGTCATAAGCTACTGCGAGGAAGAGAGAGAGAAAGAGAAATAAAAAGGAGAAAGAAGAAAGAGAGAGCACCATAGAAAGATCGAAATTCGAGTTCTCGTCGTTCTACTACCGTTACAAATTACGATTCGTTATTTTTAAACTTCACGACTGACTAATGCTTCTTGATCTCTTCCACAAACACGTATATTAGTATCACCAATACACAAGCAAGTATAGGAACGACTTCCAACACTTTCGTCCCTGTCCCTGTTCTGTTCTGTTCTGTTCCTGTCCCTTCTTCTCTYCTATCTTTTCACATTTTTCTTTTCTTCTTCTTTTCTTTCCGTTTCCGTCGAATATACGTACAAACACACACACACACACACATATCACCGTTCGTTGGAAATCAGCGCGCGACGATTTCAAAATCCAAACAAATTCTTTTCCTTCCATTTTTAGTTAACACGAGTTCAGCGAATTATTATTATCTTTAGAAATTGTCATTGGCTTTCTGTCGATTTGACGCTCCGAACGTTTTTTCTTTTTTTTTTTTTTTTAATTATATGCGAAGAGGTGAAGGTGAAGGAGAAGGAGGAAGAGGAGGAGGAGGCAAGTTTGTTGGGGTGGGGACGGACGAACAATTTTAATGTCGAACTTTTGTCTGTTACGAAATGATCGAGTCATCTTTTCTGTCTTTCTCTTTCTTTCTTTCTTTCTTTCTTTCTTTCTTTCATTTATAAAACT